CTATTTTGAACTACAGAAACCAGACACTACTGCCTGTTCCTGATTTTTTTTTTTTTTATTATTTTACAATGGTTAAATAAAAAATGTCAGAAAGGAGTTATATTCCCCATGGAGTCTAGAGGCTCTGCTGTTCACTTACAGTGTTGTGTATGACAGAAAACTGAAGCAGTTATATGCCACTAGTGATATGGTAGAATATCACTGGCATAAGAAAGTGCTTTGCATTGTGCTCTCACAAGTATGTTGGAGTAGCTGAACTACCTTTGGAAACAGATAAACCACACCGTTAAAATTGCCTTCTCAGTCACAAAATTCTGTGCACAACATCCCAAAATAGTGGCTTCTAGTTTAAAAAAGAATTTTTCAGAGTGTAGAAGTATCAAAATCTAAAGCTTCCTAAGGGTACTAATTCCTATTGGTATTTCTCAGCAGATGTCTACAGACAGACAACAAAATAGTGAGAAGGGATCAGCATGACATGCAATGATTGTTGCACACTAGCAGCATAATCATTATCAAGGTTTTGGTTGGTATGGAGCAAAGGAGAGTCTTTTGGGAAGAAGGAGAGGCAAGGTGGTTCTGCTGCCAATTCCTGGAATGGGTTTTTGAATAAGATACTGAGTGGATGAGGCAGGTATGATTGCATATCAAATGCATACCAGGAAAAGCTTAATATAAAAACTGAGTGGTGGTCTCATAAGTGTTCCGGCATTCTGATGAAAAGGAGGTGACCCTAAGTGTTCCAGGCATTCTGATGAAAAGGAGAAAATTTTGTTAGTTATTGCAAGAAGAAAGCATCTGTTGAATTCACTGCAGAGAGAAGTAGAAATCCCAGGTCATGTCTAAAATATGATTTGAGCTACAATCAAAATGATCAGCCAATGGATATTAGGGGACATTTAATAGATTCATTTGGGCTTGAACTGAATTTAAGACAGTTAAGTGATGGTTTGGATTTTAATGGACAGAAAGGTATGCTTGGAAGAGAGAGAGAAAGAATGTGTGTTATTAAGAAAGTAAGTTATATTTCAGTCTGCAGATAATATCACTCATATGAGAGAAGAAAAAAGGAAGAATAACAGAGGACAGCAGAGAAGTCTGAAGAATATTTTGATTACAGATCATCTGTAGTATACATTCTTTGGGGTAGGTGTGTGAAATTATTTATCTCTTGTCCTCAGAATCACAGACGAATACCAACTGGTACATTAATACAGATCAAGGATCTGTAATAATAATCCATTAATACTGACCAAGGATCAGTTATTTTGTGTGAGTTCAACATTACACCACGACCTTAAGAGCTCCAGCAACTATAACTAAAGAGAACAGTGACAAATGGCACCGGATAAACTCATTCCCTAGGAAGTTATTCATCAGGTTAGGTTTGGGAAGGCTACTGTGATCCGGATTAAGAGAAGGATTTGCGAGAAATGCAATCACATGTGACCAATATTTCGAAGATCTGCTCAGAAGGTACTTGGGGTGCTTAGTTGTATAGAGGGTAATAGGTACTCTCCCTCACACTGTAATATCATCAGTCATTGTGATACACATCATAAAAACCAGAGCAAGGATGAGAGATATATAATATATCAATTTGATAACGTTTGGCTGATAATATAATTTATAAAGAAAAAATCTTATTCTTTACTAATAACTTGTAACTGAAGGCTATATAACTTGTGTCTTCTTCAACAAATTTACCTTTTAATTGAAACATTTGGAAGGGAAAAGTATTTAACCTTTAAGTGAATCAATTACTAAGAGGAGCAAGAAGAAAACAGTAGTAACCAGGCATGTCTTAAAGCAGCTTATACAGGCCAAATAACAGACATCAAAGACATCTAAAATCTGCAGAGTTGAGTCAAATATCTGAGTGATTCTCCCAATCTTGAATATTATAAGGTAAGTTTTAAAATGGCACATTAGGAATTACACAACAGCTTTTAACTCGTTTTCCATTCTCATATGCATACAGCGCTTTGGGAGATTACTGCATTTTTGGAGCTAAGGACTGGGCCTGCAGACTGGAAGAGGTAACTAGGATGCAGGAGAAATCAGTTCAGTGCTGAGCAGGTTGGAGCTTTCTTCCCCCTCCCTCCGCTTGTCCCTCTACCAGAAATCTCTCTTGCAGCTTCAGTCTTCCCATCATTGGACCTCCACTTTAGACTAGGAATGATGTTCTACAGTTCTGTAGCACACGCCAAGTAGACACTGCTGCTCACCTGGCTAATGCTTTGAGTCAATTCTACACACTCTTTTTTGTAAATGTTCAGATATTAGCTTTCCTAATCTTATTAAGACTTTCAGGCATTAGACTAGCAATTCTTCTAGTAACTAATTTCCTCACAAAGCAACAATTTTACTTACAAGTAACTATGAGTATAATACTGTTATTGGAAGGTTTTTTTATGTAGTGGTTAAAGTCTTATGAAGAAAATAAATATGCATTACATTTTGTAGAAAAGCCTAGATTTGTTTTAATTTCTTGTACAAAAGTAGCCAAAATATAATCTTTCTCTTCCATCTTTGATAGCTGTGGAAATGAAACACAAAAAAATAGCTTCCCAATTGTCTGGGTTTCATTTAAACAAAATAAGGTGTGTGGGGGGGGGAATCTGACTAAACTTATCAAGACAGGGAGTAAATCAGAAATGAACTTACTATCCAACAAATATGTTCAAGATAAAAATGGGCTTAAATCATGTCTTATTGCTCCTGTCACAGATAATATATTTAATTAAACCCTCTTTTTTAGGTTTTGAAAAATTAAAACCAGCAATTAAGGCTAGGGTTGTGAGTATATTTTAAATATTTGTACACTTTAGGTAGATATGCTAAGGATATAAAGGATCACGATCAAAGTTTCTATAGTCTAGCCAGTTCACATGTAGCAAATGCAAACTTGAAACCTTAAGGATTTACATGCTCTATTTTAGGGTTACATAAATTATTGGTCTTGATTTACAACTTTTCTAAAATAGATTTCACTCTAAGAAAAAATATGAATGTCATAAATATTAATAACTGAGGTAAAACCTACAAAACCTAAAAACATATAGTTTTATATAGGCCTTCAAATTGCAGACCCAGTTGTAGCTTTCTTCGTAGTTATTAATTTCACAAACATGCTTACATTGCTTAGTTAGTACATGCATTTGTCTTCAGTATCTATGTTGGAATTACATTTCATTAGAGCAATACATACATTCCAGACAGCGCATTTTGGGACTACTCACACAGTTAATATTTTTCAGCTTTTGGCCTATTGTGTTCTTATATTACCTAAGCTAATTATGATCATTTAGAAGGTGCTGAAAGCACAATATTGCTCTGTGTGTGCATCTAGCAGGCTATAATTGCCATATATGACATGAAAAGTTATAGCTTATAAGGATATGAATATATTCTGTATGGTTTTTTCATTTAGTATTTAGCTGATAATCTTACAGTATGGTCTTATGATAGCCTATATTCATAAATATTTTAAGTAAATATGGTACAAATGAGATAAAAATCAGAGGGTAGGTGGTAGCATCTAATTTTAAATCTTGAAACAGGAGTCTTGGTTTTTGTCTGGACCTAATATTAAGACTTCAGAAGGAATAAACAGACATCTACCAATTGATAGTACCTCTGGATTTTCATAAGCGTTAAGATTTCTATTTTGTCATGGATGTTATTAGAACTTCATTATGTCCTCCAGGATGGTTTTTTTTTAAGCCGTAACAAGATTCAGCACTATAATTATGGAGTCAAGAGTTATGGTCACAGCTTTATAATTAAGTGACTTGTTTTGTTTTCCAGTAATATCAGGGATTCAGTGTTTCTGTTCAGAATATCTTCTTCAAAATCACAAAAAAATCCATGGCTGTAATAGCAGGCACTTTCTGAGAATTTATAAATAGATCTTTCTGTTCATTCATCATCCATGAATTTAAATGAAGATAAACAAATTTTGCAGCTAACTGTTGATCAGCTACCAAATACTTAGTTAAGTACCATCTTGTATAGTATTTGTACAGGACACTCATTAAACTTTCTGTATGATTAAAACTCACGGGCTTTTATTTTTTTGTATAAATTACAAAGGCATTTTTTCTTGCCATTAGTCATTCTATTTCCTCTTTCTTAGATCTTAATATTCTACTAGAGAAAATAACAGTCAGCTCAGGTCTCTTTCAAAATGACTCATGATTCCCATTTATGTGAATGGAAGAGAGGCACTTTATTCTTATCAAAATGGCAACTGCCTCTATTGTGCTCTAGCTGAAGGAATCCTGTAGCATTTAGAAAGTCTGGCCATGGCAGTCATGCTGAAAGAGGACAAGTCCTCACGAGTTTCTCAATAAGCAATGATTTTATGAAACAACCCTTGAAAGCAACTAAGCATTAAGTTATACAAAATAATGACAGTTTTTCCAGGTTGTTTTTTGGTTGTTTTTTTGTTGTTGGGTTTTTTTTTTTCTTTTTTTCGTTATGAGGCCTAGTTATCAAATAAGACAGATAGCACCATCATGAGAAAACAACAACAAAACCATATACTTTAAATTATTTAAATTCTACTCTACAAGTATAGACACAATTATGTACTCATCATACTTACAAAAGTATAATAAAGAACAGAATTAATTTTCTATACTTTTATCATATATTCTCCTATCTATTCTATTTTGATTTCTTTACTGTTAACTCTGCATCTCCTGAGTCAAGAGTGAGTGCGCTGAGGATATTTACACATTCCTGCAGTGCTTTTTACCCATGTTAGCAATATACATTCTCAATGTTGATTTGATTTCATTTTTATTGCAGAAACGATGAAACTCTTTATATGTACTTTCTGGGTTGTTTGTTTTTTTTTTTTTTTTTTTAATATAAATCACTGTGATACAAAGCTATTGATTTATCATTTTAAAAGAGAATTCCTGATTTGGGGATTCATACAATGAACAAGCCAATTATTTTATACTCAGAAATACTGATATACTGACACATACCTTGACTTTTTCTAAGTGATCCTGCAGAGAGTCAATTAGCAGATCCCCCACTGGCTGCCAGGATCCCTTGAACACTTCAGCCTGGCGAAGTTTCAGGTCCAGTTCATCCATTGCCTCTTGAAGGCCCTGCAGTCTTTCAAGAGCATCATCTATCTTCTTTTGCCAATCAGCAGACTCTAGATTCAGCTTATCCCACTCAGTTCTGACCTCATCTGCTTGTCTTTGGAGAAGTTTAGTGACATTGTGGGCCCTTTCTTCAGGTGACAGCTCTAAATGTGAAAGTCAAGAGGCTTTTAAGACATACCCTGTCTTAGAAGAAAAATAATTGCCATCTGGGTAAGTTCAAAGCTCTGTAAGAAACTATTCATAACCAAAGACACCTGTGAAATTTATTTTATTAATGTATTCTCCTTTGAAAAACTCTTAACTTATTTAAATCTTGCCATCATACAGATGATGAAAATATGCATTTAAGTACATAAAGGCATTTTTAAACATGCAAGGTGTAGCCAAAAATTTATCAACGGTGTCCTGATTCAGCAAAATAGTTCTGCACATACATAAATATTAATCACTGTGAATCTTTTGCTGCAATTGAGTGGATTTGGGAGCTTCTGTAGTACTGAGACTATGAGTTGAATTTTAGGCAAATCACAGCTTTCAGACCCCAAATGGGCCTATAGTTATAGATAGGTCCTGAAGGTTTAAAGCCAGTTTCAAAATCTGCTTATAAATATGCATGTCTGTTTAGTGCCACAATGTTCAGAAGGATCACAATGGGTTTCTTTCATCTATATTTTTAGCTTAGTTTCTGAATACTGACATTCAGCTTGGAGTGTAAAAGGAATGCTTTCACAGTGGCTGGCAGAATTATTTAATCATCGCTGATCATCACTGATCTTTCCAGCAAATGTGTTATTACCCTGCTCTTTTTTCAATTACCTCTTGGTTCTGGGTAGAGCTTCTCCAGTCCCTCCACAGGCTGCTCTGTTAAGAAGATTCGCACAGTCTCAAGTGCACTCCTGATAACAGGCTCTTTTGTTTTCAGCTCCCTCTTGAAAGTCTGAGAGATGAAACAAAATTATTGTAAGTGGATATATAATGAAATACTGAGTGCTAGCCCTTGTTTTCGTCAATTTAAGAACAAAGTTTCCAACAACAGCTTCCATGTGTGTATTACAAGTAGCTACAAAAAAAAAAAGAAAAAAAAAGTAAAAGAGATAATCAGCTTTTGCTTAACCTGAAATCACATTGTATTCAAAGGAGCAAATGTACTGCCAGCATGCTGCAAAGTACCCAAGGTTGCTGATCAAATTTTCACTGTGAGAGGGATCCCTTTTGTTGATCAACATCAGGGTCAACTCCAACTTGCTGCAAGGGGCAAGGCTTTGGCTGGTTCTGTACTGGACCACACCAGCATAGGTAATGGTTCTTGAAAGCAAGATTTACCAGAATGCAAAGGAAAATCCAACATGTCTCACAGCTACCACTTTGCTACTGCTGCTGGCAACTGTTATATCATAAGGAAAAAAGAAAAAAAAAAAGGACCTATGGATATTGACATGTTAACCCGTAACAATTAATAACAAAAAAAATTCCAGTATATTAAATCATAACACTCTCCTTAGCAATGGTGTAGATGCATCTCTTCCAAAATTACATGAACTGAGATTTCTGAAATGTAGAATCAAGGACAAGGTGAAAATTCAGAAACACCATCTAGCCTAGATGTAGGCATGCATGAGTAAAAATTAAAGGGCAGAAAGTAGTCCTTATGAAATAGTTAATTAATTATAATATAATAGTTAATTAATTAATAGTTAATAGTTCCTTTAATCAGTATTTATTATCAATTTCCATATCTTTACGTTTAACATTGCTTGGTAGTACATTCTGCTCCTTTTCAGCTCAACTGTATTTCTCCTTTTCGCCTCTTCCTTTCCTGTCATGCTTTTTGGCACCTGTCCCCTTTCTTGCCTTTTCTTCCTCTTTCTCATTTGCATTTTTCTTCCTCCAGCAACAGCTCCTTTTACTATCTCTCTTCTATTCCCTGCTTTTAAAATGACCATAAGTAAGATTCTCAAGGTTGGTATTTGAAGTTTTGGTAGGCTACTGAAAGTATACGTATCTCAGTTTTTGTTGTTGCTGTTGTTGTAAGATAATTTAAGATTCCATTAATCTGAATCCGAATGTTCAGCGCACAAAAATGCAGATGAAACCTGGCCTGTGGGTTGCACGTTGCATTCGGTCTTTTGCATGTTGTATTGAATTTATCTAAATGGCCCTTACCACTGTTTTATTTCAACATTTTCTTTTCTATTTATGAAACAACATTGAATGCATACTGTTTTCAAGTAGCATAGAGATAAAATATGCAGATAGTTATAGTGCAGTGTAACACAAAACACAACACTGTAAAAAGGAGAGCCATATGCCATGAGTGGAAAACAGATATTTTACTCCAGGGTTAAGAAAATTCTTTTTACAACACAGGCATTATATAGGCTTCTAACATAAGAAATTCACCAATTCAGTTAAATTAATTATTATAAAAATTTGAGTTTCTATGCAAACTAATGAAAGATTATAAATTCAATATTAAAAAGTTCATTGCACTTTGAATTGTCATAGAATCATAGAATAGTTTGGGTTGGAAGGGACCTTTAAAGGTCATCTAGTCCAACCCCCCTGCTGTGGGCAGGGACACCTTCAACTAGATCAGGTTGCTCAGAGCCCCATCCAACCTGACCTTGAATGTTTCCAGGGATGGGGCATCTACCACCTCTCTGGGCAACCACTTCTAGTGGTTCACCACCCTCATTGTAAAAAATTTCTTCCTTATACCTAGCCTGAATCTACCCTCTCTTAGTTTATCCTTGTCCTGTAGCAACAGGCCCTGCCATCTTTCTTATAAGCCCCCTTTCTATACTGAAAGGCTGCAATAAGGTGTCCCTGGAGCCTTCTCTTCTCCAGGCTGAATAACCCCAACTCTCTCAGCCTTTCTTCATAGGAGAGGCATTCCATCCCCCATTTTTCGTATCAAATTTATATTTAATATGAAATGCTCTGTATAGAAAATACCTAACAACTAATAATGAGAATCACACCTGCATTTTATAACATGAGCACTCACAGGTAAAAAATTCTTAATGCCTTTCAGGAAAGTAAACTTAAGGAAATGACTACATTATTCTGCTATAAATATTTAAATAAACTTTTTATTAAGTGGTCAAGAACTGACCATAAGGTTTGTAATTGTGAATCAGGAAAACCCTTTAGCAAAGTGTGCTTTCTTGAAGGAAACAACAAAGTAAAAAATGTTAATTTTGTGTCATGGACATCAGTGGGACTGGGATCCTTTCACAGAGTGTATCTGCTATCATAAGGCAATCTATTGTTTGATTAATATCTGTGATAAATGTTTTAAACAATCATGTTGACCCTTGAGAACCAACACTGATTTTCAGAAATAGAGTACTGTATATTAACAAGTAAACTACCATTGGACATTGCTCTGCATAAAAACTGAGTGGGGTTACTCTAGGGTTAAAACTCTAACTTAGACATTTTTAGGTTTAGAAATTTTTATAATTCATACTTGACTCTTGCATGAAGTGCAACGGAAAGAAGAAATATAATAAGTCTTTTTCATGCCTCCAAATGAGGAAAAATCTATTCCTTTAATTAGCCTTCGTGCTCACCTCACATTACATCATTCTGTCCCACTAGAGTGTGGCAGGTCTGCAGCTCAAGAAAGCCAGCAGGTAGCATAACTTAAAATGTTCCCCCATGGACTGTGTGCTTTGCTCTCATCTGATAGTGTTAAAAGTGATATCAACAGTCATACCAGTTTTTAAACATTATAATTGTAAAACAGCTTAAAGATATAATATACTTTATAAACATCTCCGAAGACAAATTATTTGTCAGAAATGAGTAACGCCCAAAACCAATCAAACAGGAGGCACATGCTCAAAGGTCTGTTCCACCCACACACACCAAGAGCAGGAAGAAGTCACAGATATTTCAGGGGAACACAGAACTACACCAACTTATAGGATATTTAAAAGCCAGAAATGCCTTTGAGCTATGTATTTGGGAATGAGTAGTACTGCTGTATGGAGTGCTGCTGCTGTAGTCAGGTCAACCCTAGCTATGTACATGTACAAACAGTGAGAAGGACACAAAATACCTTCTTTCAGCTTGTACTGCTTTTGCATAAAACCATACCAACGAAATATACCTAGTGGCATTATATTTCCAAGAGAGGATTAAAGCCACATTCCTCCAATATCTCTTGTACAACAGAACAAGGATAACATAATCAGATATGCATACTGCATCCCATAAAGAGTGTAAGCAGGAATCATTGTATCTGTCTCCCCAAAACAACAAGAAATGCTAAGGGGAACTTTCTGACTTTGTATATTTTGTATTTAGTCACAAACAGAAAGAGTCTCTTTCTCTTTTATTAAAGACAAACAGTGAGCCAAAGTGTTAAATGTTTTTTTTTCCAACTTTTCCATTCTGGATGTTGGAGCTGGTGGATGCGATTATAGTCTGTAAATCCTGAGGTTTAGAATAGTACACAGTATGGTGTTAAGATCTATTTACAATTCTCATTGCCTTCCCTAGTTTTGATCTGCAGACTTCTACTGAGTGAGTTAAAATATGTTTCAGTGTATGAAATTTAAAAAGGAGAGAATGAAAAAAACATGAGACTGAAGCAGTAGCACAGAACAGCATTAAAAATAATGAATGCTCATTTCATACTAGCCCATTCCAAAAAATGTTCTTACTGTATGAAGATAAAGCCAGCTTTTCTGACTAAAGTTTTGTTGTGAAATATGTACACACTACCAATAAAAATCATAAGTAGCAATAAATGGCATTTTCTTTTCTTTTCTTTTTGGGGGGGGGTGGAGAGGGGAGTAAATTATCTATCTGGAGCCCTGACAAATACATCTTTATAATAAGCAGACCACCATTGAAAGCAGAATTAGCCTAAATGAATGTCTAATTTACAGCTAATGATTTCAGGCTAATTTCATTGAATTCCTTAGCTTCTTCCACACTTTGTGGTGACTGTAGAGGAAATCGAATGTGCATAATGTATGACCTGACAAAAAAACAAGTAAACTACTTTATTTAAGCATCTCTATTTGTCATCAACACTACAGCAGTAATGGCTTTCTGTCCACCGTTTTAATAATGCATATATTGATCTGCTTATCTCAGACCTCCATTACCTCCTTATGGGTGTCCTTACATCTCTTTAGATGGAGAAACACAGATTGTTTAAATTGAAAGATGAAAATATAATGAGTTGCATTAGTAAAACTAATATTAATCTCTGTTATTAGAAAAGCAGATATTTTTGCTTTTAATGAATTTTAAAGAGAAAGAGTACAGTTAAATTAGTTCAAGTTGTTTTCCAACCAGAATGTTTTTTTAAAATGGGTTTTGAACTCAATTTTAAAAAGTAGATATCAATTGTGCCACCAGAAAAGGTTAGTGTGTTGAAGCGGGAATTGTACTCCTTCTTAGGCACTGTTGCTATAGATTTCATGTGAAAGGGTTTCCAGGGAATTGTTAATAATTAACTTCTATGTTCATAAATGCTATTTATGCTGTTAACACAATCAGCATAGATACACAGAAGATATGGCAACTCTTAAAAGAATGAAAGAAAAAGCAGGCTATCTGCATGATGCTTAAGTTACTTAACTGAGATTAACAGTAACATGTACACAGTTATTAATACGATTTCAATAAAACGTTACTATGACACTTAGTAAAGCAAATGAAACTGTAAAATAATTAAATAATATGTTGATGAATAGCAGTATTTTTTATCATTGACTAACACCCCCCCCCCCCCCCCACCATTCTAAGACTTCGGCATAGACACAATTTCTTCAGATGTCAAAAACCGACAAAATGACCCACTATATATATAAGTTCAAACAAATAGCAGTTATGTGGGTTATTTGGGATAAATTCCAAATTGCCTTGTCTAAAAAGCATCTCACATTTATAATGCAACAATGATTTTGACTGCATGGATATCTCTTTTCCCAGTTGAGTTCAAGCTCTCCTCTGGCATAGATTCAAGCATTTGAAATTTTCATCTGAATCCTACTCTTAACATTTTTAAAGCCAATCTTGGCAACTAGGAGCATTCTAATGATAAGAACTAACTTCTTTTCATCTCTGCCATGAATGTCTGAGGTATTCCAGATGGTCTTCTAAATGATAGAGAGGTTAAATATATTTGTTTTTCTTTAAATTACATCCTTAAGGGAAAAAAAAATAAAATCAGCTTGTAACACTGCTTCAGAAAAAGGATTCAGGCATCAAATCATGTTTGCATTCATCACGCCATTTCTCAATGGCAATCAGTTAAACTGCTTATAAATAATATTTCCCTGCTGAGGCTTTTTCTCTTCTCCAATGAAGAACTTACCCAGGTTCACTTCTGGCTTTACCTGGCAAAAACAATTCTTCACAGAAGGAAAGACAGTGTATTGATATAGGAAGACTAAAGTTGAAATTTTGGGTCATTTAAAAGATTGGTCAGATCAGGTAGAGGCTTAGCTTGTTTACTGAAGGCTGATTTCCAGAACCGACATTCAGGAGAACAAAATGAACAATCAGCAGATTCTTTTTCTCAAGACCAAAATTCAACTACTCTCTACTTTCACATCCAACACTCTGAAAGCTAAGTTTTGTTCTTAAGCAGGGGCCCAAAACTCTTGAAAAAAACACCTTTCCAGTACTGTGCTCCAGTTTTGAGCTAGATACTTCTACACTTGTGGTGCAAGCCTTTTTAAAAGTATTTTTCTTATGTTCAGAAATGAGCTAAGCTGTTCATTGGGATACAGCCTTTGTATGTCTGCTTCTCTAAAAGAAACTTTTAGAGTAACAGAAAGTCCATAGTGTCCAGGGAAAAAAAAATACAGTAGAAAAACTCCAAGCTGCAAACATAGATTTTGTCAAAGACAACCTGATGTCAACAGAGTTCTGCACTGATTGTTTGTCCCTCCTTCTCTTTGAAGAGCAGACAGGGTAACCTAATTTCAAGGATTATATTTTGTTCTTTTTTCCACAGGGAATCAGAATACCTACAACTAGAAAGGCCTTACATTAAACTACAGAATGGGAAAAGGAAAGAAGCCATACTTCTAAAAGGAAGTAAAATGTTCTAGCTTTGATATTAGACATGGTGACCAAAGATTTGTGTCTGTATGTATCTGCATGTGGCAGAGAAGGTAATCAAAAAGGAGAAGTGAGAAGGAGATCTACTTTGTAAAGTCACTTTTCGCCTATTCATGGTACCTTACTTTTATGCAACACTTCTCATCCCTAAAAGTTTTAAACACTTCAGTTGATTGGTGAGTGACAGAGAGATTACTTTGTCTATCACTGAAGCCTTGCCACCTTTATGATTAATTTTGGGAAACTTTTGAATAGCATATGGCACAATATACAATATTAAAATTTTATGAGAAGTCATTTCTCTATATGAAAAAATTATTTCTTTGATCTAGGAGGAAAAGTAATGTTTTCAAATACTCAAATATTATTCAGATGACAAAAGTTTTCTTGTAACAATTCTACACAAATCCTTCTCTAAGTCTTGCTTTGGCTCAAGAGCTGTCTTTGGATAAAGGGTTTGAGTTAATGTCATGTTAAGTTAAAGCAACATCTGTACTGTTTCTTTCATCCTGATGTTCTGGTGGGCTTCAAAACTACTTTATGGAAGTTGCTACAGACAGCTGGCTAGAACAGACTTCAGGCATTTCATATATCTGAACTTTCACAGAGGGAAAGGTAAAAAGGGATGGTGGTGCTTCAGTATCTGTCTTAGTGGGTTGAGGTCTGGTTTCTGTTATGGACATCTGTTATTAACTGGTGCTTCCCAGATTAAAGTTTTCATCAGAAACTAACACAAAAGAAACAGAAGTTTTGTCATAAGGTCTAGACAGGATTTTATGGAGTTCATAAGTGATAGAATAGGAATTGCTGAAGTTGAGTGTTCTATCCCAATTACCTTTCACATGGTTCCCTATTCCTTCTCAGAACAAGAGTTTCTCCCCATTTATTGCTTCATTCAGCAATTCTTCAAGTTTATATTAGCAGAACACTAGTTCCCTAATGGGTTTCCTTATGGCATCACTAAAAAAGCACCACTGAGGTTTTTGAACTGTGATTTCACATTCAGACCTGAATAGACTGCAATGGCATAGCAAATTAAAAGCTGTTTACCTAAAAGCAGACATTAGCATCAGACAGGTCTGAACTTGATTCAACGCAGGAAACATACTTAAAGCATACCTTTACCACAAAAAAACCTGTGTGAATCTTTGTATGAAGAATTATTCAGCAGTATTGTGTTATTTTGGGGGTTGTTCATTTGGTGGGTTTTAAAAAAAAACAACTTCCCATACAAGTGTTGGATTTAGGTTACTTTTTACTACAAATCTTAGTCTAGAACAGTCCCATATGATGCTCTGCTATTGCCTTTCCATAAGAATTCCCTGATGAAACTAGTATGAGCCATAGACAGTTACAGTTAGCTATCACAATAGTTTCACGATGCAAACAGTTGTGCATTAGGGCTGATATCAGCTACTGTTTTCACAAACGTTCCCAAAAATCAATAGCAAAATGGGGTTTCAAAAGTACACAGGACGTTTAAATGCCTGATCTAGAAAAATTTTCAGAACTATTCATTTAATCCTCAATATCAGCTTAGTATTTGTTCTGGCCATGAAAACTAGCTGTCTGTGATAGGTCTACGAAAATGCTATGTTGCTTTTCAAAAAAGCTAAGCAGCTGGTAGTAAACACTCCCTTCTCCAAAAGGCTGATTTTCTAAGCTGTGTTTGAAAATTGTAGCTAGTGATCTTATGCAAGAAGTTCAGTTTTCATTACCTCTAAAGGGTATCTTACTTTTTCCAACAAGGACCGTGCCATGCAGCACTAACCTGCAAAACAAAAACCAATGACCGAAAGATCATTTAAAAAAAATCATACCCTATGAATATCATTTTGTTTCTGCACAGTGGGAAGATCTCCACCAATGGGTGCTTGCTGTTTTAATTCATCCTCCTTCAATTGCAGCCATGCCAAAAGTTCCTGAAGAGAGAGATGTAAACGCTTCCATTGGTCTGTACTGGCTTCCAAATGGGATCTGAAAGCATGTGTTAAATATAAGATATATTCAGACACAGTGAAAATAAAACCCAAATTGTACAAGCTTATTTACTGACAAAGATCCTAGTGTTTCATAAACTTAATGATTTTTAAACAGCTTCTGTTTGAATTAGGTTCTGGCAACATGATTTAAATTCGGTTCCACAGTCCTGGCCTGAAACATCCATTCTTTTCCCATCTCTTGGGCTTTTTTTTTTTTTTTTGGTTTTCCTCTTCAGCAGTGAGTAGAGTAATAGCTGTGTTGAACTGTCAGTCTCACTAAATGTACACAAGTATTATGCAGGACTAGCATGAGAGTAACTTTGTCATCACTTAGGATTGCTAGGAGATTAATTAACTAAAATGTAAAGAGTAGTTTTCAACTCAGAGAAGAGCAAGCATTTCTCTAAACCACTACACAAACCATTCAAACTCACACAAGATTCATGTGGTTTAAGATGAGCCAATGTCATTCTTTCCAAAAAAAGTAATGAAGAAATTGTTAAAGCCAATAGAATCCCCTTATGCTACACAAATGTCTGTGCCATTTGAACAGCGGTGTGAATGAAACTAATTGAACCACTGGAAAAATTAAAAGACAGAATACTACTTTGTGCAAACAAAGTCTCCACCATAAGGACAGCGAGGGCTGGGGAAGCCCCAGGGTGCCTTTGAAAGCAGTGAGGGGGGAGAGAAGCGGGGATGTTGTATGGGGAGTTGCAAGAGGCAACAGCCAGAGCAAGGACCACAGGGCTTTTGGAGGGGACACAGTCAAGGAGTCAAGTTTCTCAGTCAGGTTAACTCCTGTCTCCCATGTTTATCTCAGCAAATGTAAGCTTCAACCTCCTCCAGACAAGGCAGCAACTGGAGGCAAACACTAGGGTCTTCACTTCTTCCCTGCTTCCCCAGGTCTGGCTTTACAGGGAAAAAGCGCAAGAGTGATCCAAAGTGGTTTTGTTACTGCTGCTGTGCTCTGACCTTCCCCAGTTTGGTGAACAGTTTCCCTGAACCCATCTTGTTCTGCCCTTCTTTCAGCTTCAGGAATATATGTTTATGGATATGCATGGTAGTGTGCATTATATGCACACACTCATATATTTATAACTGTATTCAAGCATGTGCAGACAAAACAGATAATAGGAAGAAAGTTTTAAAAAATGAGTTATTTGTAAGAAAGAAAGTGTTTATTAGGATAAACTGTACTGACTTATCAGAATGAAAGAAAGGTAATAATGGAAATGAGCTTGGATCCTCTTGATATCTACCATATCTATATTTTAGATAGATTATCTAAAATAATAAAAAAACGTATAATATATCTTTTATCTATATTTTATCTAGATTTAGAAAAGAATGTCCACCTAACCCGAGCATGGGTCTTCTGTTTCAGCAGTCTAAAACTTACGCTAAATAAGGAGACTTGTGGGACTGCTGTCTGGGGGACATTTCATATTTCTGCTCTTATACCTCTTTTGCGTAGGCATTGCTAGTTATGATGAAATCCATTCTATAGTGTGTGATGGAAAGAAATAGCTCCAAGCAGACAGATTGAGAATAGCCTGTTCATTCAGTTTGGTGGCCAGCAACACTTAAATTTGATGTCTCAGAAGTTAAGAATTGTTTCTTATCCTAATCAATAAGTTGTTGAACACCTTGAGCCTTTTATTGAAAGCAAACATTTTAGAGAGGAGGTCTTTTGCTTTGAATGTTTAATGTGAGAAGTCACTGTGATATATCTGGGGTTACTATTTCTGACTCGATTAATGGCAGCAATACATTGAAATGCAAAAACTGAAACAGAGAAAGTTCCATGTATTTAATTACTGATATTTGGCGAACTGACTGTTTTTCTTATCTCAAACATCGCTGCATTTGGGCAAGTTCATGGGTAAAAGAAGAAAAAAATCTGAGAAAGACCTTGAAGGGTTATATCCCTCTTCTTTTTCTCCTCAGAAAAAAAAGCAGGACTTTGTCTCTCTTTTTCTTTAGCTACTACTATCTTTTCAACCTCACATCCTTCATTTATTTTTAATGATTGATGTTATGAAGATGGCTTTTGTCATTACACAGACTGACCTCCCTCAGGGCCTGAGCTGAAAAAAGCTAGTATTTCATACATCACTTTGAAAAACACTTCTGTCTTTTGGTGCCCTCTGAACTACCACCAATACACAGCAAGCAAGCAAATGAAAAAATGCCCGAGACTGAACGCAACAGAGCTGGCTTGCCTATTGTAAAAGTCTTATTTCTGAAGAGAAGATTCCTGGACAATTTCTTCTGAAAAGCAATCTTCAGCCCATTGAAGCCTGTGCCTCCACTTCACCATTTGTAACATCACCATTTATTATAGTTTTCCTTGCAAGGAGAAGTTTTTCCTCTCGTGACACTACCTATGGATTTCCTTTTACCCCTGGCTTTTATTTGGTAATTTTGTCCACTCTCCAATCAACAGCTAAAAACTTAAATAACGTGTCTTCTCATTTGCAAGGCTATTCTTAGTTTTGCACTGGAAATAGCAACCTTAGAAATAAAGCTTATCATAAATATAGGTTGTTTAATAACTTTCTTGCATGACTTATTGATAAGTCATACCAGCTCTAGAAAAAGTCTACATTTAGAGAAGGTACAGTTACTGTTTAAACATTCTAATCTCTCCTTCTATAATTACAAAACCTCACCATATGCCTCAAATCCTAATCCCCTACTATGATTTTCACACCAAAAAACCTAATCATTCTTACAAAGACAACATTCAAAATAGCACAAATCATTTCAAAATGGACAGAAATAGTGCTATCAGAAAAAAAATTAAACCGTTTTACTGGGCAAAACATAGCAGTCCACCTTACACCCCAACTGTAGGCTTTCGCTTACGTTCAGATCCTACCTAATATTTAGAGATTTCTTCCTAAGCTCACTCCATCTGAGGTTCATGTTATCCAGACGTCTCTGCAATAGGGCTGCATCCTCAGAGCCTTCCAGCGATCTCAGGATTTTCTGCCCGTTTTCATCCAGGTTGTGGAAGATGTCAGTATGAGCATCAATTTCCACCTGTAGTTCCTATGGAAGCAGTAGAAACAATACATGTGATTTCTTACAAAATCATAGAAAATATCACTTCTCAGAAGAGTAGAAAAACCCTCAGTGTAACACAGAGTTAGCACAGATTTTGATTATTCCATTCATGGCGATATCATGTAGTATATACACAGCCATATTTCCCTCTCACGTGAAGGCTGTTTGCATTGAATAATGACTTTTTTTCCATACAGAGCATACTGAACAAAATTTAGAAAGTTAGAAGTCTGGCCTTTGACAGGGAAAGCAGCAAGGACAAGATATATTTACTATGCTGATGAGGAAAGAAAAGCCCCACAAAACCCTCAGGATCTCAGGTAAATCTGACCTTCACATGATACGTCTTCCTGTGCAACATTTTCAGTTTGAGCTGGGGACTGCAACACCGGTCCTGCTGCATGGCAATTCCAAGAAATCTATGTGTCTGCAGCAGCCGAGCTTTAAAATGCCAAGTTCACTTACATTCTGTTGACAGAACGCATTTCGGAGCACAGGCCTCAGCAGTCAATAGCAATAAACAGCCACTTTGTGCTGTATCAAAACACTGGTCAGGGCCATGGCTGTAGGAGGGCCTGAGAATAGCAAGGTCCTAGAATATGCAACTGGCAGCTCATGTTGAACAGCCAACTTTTCTTATCACTTTATAACTGCAGGCCAGCTCTACATTTTGAATTCATTTTCCCCCCTCATTTTTAGCACAGCTGTTTCTGCCAAAAGAACATTCTTTAGAGAGCTGCCTGGTACCAGCATTCTTGCCTGCCCACACACTCAATGCAGCCTTTGTACATTGGCTGCCCTTCTCCAAGACGTTTGCATCCTGCAGCTCCACAAGGTCACAGATTCGTTTGCAGTGAACAGTGGTTGAATCAAGCTCTTTAAACAGAATAAAAATTTAAAAAATAATAATAATTTAAACACGTACGTACATGAGCACACACGTACTCTATATGTAGCCACATACGCACAAAAGTACTTTTACTTTCAAACAAAGAAGCACACAAAGAAACAAAGAAAGTGACCTAGTGAATAAAGCTCTGCATTTTCTCCTGGGATGCTTGGGCACTAAGATTTCTGGTGGTGGTTTCTTGCTGCCTGAAATGGGAGTGCTGGGGATGAAGTGTGAAAGGGGAAGTGATTTATGGCATTTGAGAGCAAGACCCAGCACTAACTGAGCATCACAGATATCCCCCAATGGAAATTTGTTGTAATTTTCTTTAGAAGAATGACTTTGAAGGAGGGGAGCACACAACTTGCCTACTTGGTGTGTTCTTAATTGAATTGGTTTTACATGATATTTTAAGTGCAATGTTAGCTGCACTGAATCATGAGTAGATTGTCCTTGTTCACCTACTGCTGTTCCAAATGTCATTTGCTGTCCTGTGCTGGATACCTATTTCTTTTCTTGCACAGTAACAACTAGCACTGTATTTGGAGCAACTTCAAGGAGGGCTAGGAATGTCTTTGGTACAGTATAGGAGTTCTTATCCAACTGTTTTACTTTATCGTCATCCTAGCAGTAAAGTAGTTAGGAATGAGTTTGGAATACATCAGAGGTAATTCTGCAGAATGCAACTGTATTATAAATATTGTATTCATTTATTGATGTTAAATAGACAATTTAGATTTTAAAGAATGCCATTATTAAGGTACATTACATAACATAACCATGTACAATACTCCCGGTATGAATGCCCTTACTTGAAAATTTGTACTTTATTTCAAGTCTGAATGTTGCTAGCTTGAGCATCCAGCTGTGATATTTTATTTTTCTTTGCTTGACTGAAGAATATTCTATTACCAAATTTCTTTCTCTTCATGTATGCATTTGGAGGTTTAATTTAAGCTAGGTTAAGTATCATAAACCCGATGTAAGCAGCCAAAACAGTACATAAGAAAGGATAAAGTTCACAGTTAAAAAGTTCACTTTTAATGTCTGTATACTTCTAAGGTCCTTCCACATTTAAAAACCAATAGATCTATTGCTGAATGAAAGAATTATCAGACGCACTACCTGTTGCACAAAATACTTAGTTTTTAGGGTGGTGATGGAAATAGCTGCCTTTTCCTCAGCTAGAACATGTGCCATGAAACATGTACATTGAATAACTATTCACAGTACGAAGCTGTCAAATCTATGCCACCTTGGTGTTTTACCACACATACACTCATAGCATTTTATAACACAAAATTAAAAAAAAAAAAGCACTTCCACATTTTTCTTGTTTTTAGAAAAAGTGCCCATAGTCTACACATTCCATGCTTTTCTCCTGACACATACCTATTTCTGAAAATAAAATAAAGCCATATTCTTTTATTTCCAAATACTATATAGTATCACAATAAATCTGGACAGCTAGTTAAAAGTGAAGCACTCTTATCAAAAGCTTAGTATTCAAGACGTGGTTTTCCTTATTCCAAATTACTTATGTAAACTGCACATCTTCTAATACTCCTAAAAGCAGTTTATTCCAGCTATGCAGGAAGCCTACACTGACAAAGAAGCAAGACAACAACAAAAGTATTTACTGCATTTTGGTTGGTGCATTTCAGAAATATCAATATAAACTAGATTCTTTTTCTTGACAAGAATAAAGCAGGAAGATCTATTTCATCTCATAAACTGCTAAGATATTTGCAAAAGTATGTTATCATTACACATCATACCAAGAAGCATAGAATATAGACTAAAAATAGACTATTTACTGCATTTTCATCTTTTCCAATGTGTTGAAATACATGGAGGAACTGCAGAGGATGAAAAAGCAATCCTGGTATAATTCTACTGAGTTACAGTCGGACTTAAATTGACTCTGTATGCTGCATTTTTGCTGTAGTGGTTATTACTGAGGATGTGTAGAAATAGATTTCCTTAAAAAGAGCAGGTAGCAAAACAAAAAACAAATAATGAAAGAATACATTGGCTACAGTAACTCATTAATGAGTATTGGTTATTAGCCTAAGTTAATTTTCAAATCCCACATCTTTTTGATCACAATCTACTGCTTAGAGTGAGCTGAACTGCTTAGAAAGAACTGCAACCCCATCAAGGTCAGATTTGCCTACGAGTTTCAGAGTGAAATCCTCCTTTATTAAGGTGAAATATATAGTTAGATGATAAAAGGTACCATTATATTTGTTCGTAGAAACCTTGCTGAATAGCTATTATAGGTTTCTACACATCTAAAAATGTGTATTTACATTATTATATTATATAGAGTAAGTCTAGAACTAAGTCACAGAACTAAGAATGATAAGGAGATGAAATAAACTTGTCTTGAGAAGAACAATCTTCTTGGGCAAAACAGGGTGAGGAAATTTGCTCTGGCTGTTTTGCTTTTGTCCTGAGCCCTTGAAACCTCTATGCTTGATTTCAGAAGAGAAGTACAGTAAGGCTGTAAGACAGCACGCCCAATACTGCCATAAAGCTAGGGGATGGATATATTTCTCACTTGCCCAACTCAGTTCTCCCCCTTGGAACTACTGCTAGCATTCTCCACAGGAGCACACATCCTCACTGCCCTAATCCTCTTGGTAGGTAAAAGAAATTCACTTGTGGCTCCACATGTTTTATTTTACACAGAGCCCTGTAAAACGCAGCAGAGCCACTGCTGTGAAACCTAGTGTATTGAAAGTCCTGTCAGCCTCCACCTAGCAGAGATAGTCCTATAAGAATTCAACATGGTTTGAGATACTTTATCAGAAATAATTAATCAGTGTCAATATCCTTCATATCCCACGTGCAATATATAGGCATGACATAAAAAGGACATGACATTATTTTGGCAATACATCAGAGAGGGATTGGTAGGCTAGAAGTAAAATGAAGTACTAGAAAGAAGGAATTAGTTACACTAGTTGGATGATACATGAGTCAGACTAAGACATGGAAATTAACGCAGCACAGCTGACAAAACATTTATCTTTTATACAAGGTAGAAACAAGATTAATTATGTAATAATTTAAAGAAGTTAAAGCACTTATATCGTCCTCTACAAACTCAATTGCATCTTTGGAATTGTGCTTTCCATTTCCAATGAAGCATTGTATATTTTCTACATACTGTACAAAGTTACTAATTAAATAAATGGCATTAATTGAGGTAAGAGGGCTCACAAAATTAAAGACAGCACCGTCTGATTAAAGGAAATCAACACAGAGGAAAAAAAATTATCTTTACTGACAGTAATTAAAAAAAATAAAGTCAGTCTGAGTAATTACATACATGTACTCAGAGCACCAGCAAGTAATACCTGTGTGGCTATACATAGCTCAGAAGTACTATACTTTACAGTACTATTTCTGTAATACTAATACTGAAATAGCTAGAAAAGCTATCATAAAATTTCTCAAAACAAAACAAAGATCCTACACCTCTATAATCCCTCTCCGTCTGTGTAGTTAGCTGAACTAATCGTCCCCTTCATATTTATATTAACAGAGCATATTATATTTCCCCTAAATAATTTCTGGAAAAAAACAGCTAAACATTTTAAATAGCTTAAATTAGTAGCATATTTACTTAAACCTCTTATATTGTGCAGACAATATGAATAATGTAATCCTCCTTTTTTCCATTTTCCTTTTGTTTCTCTTTTCCTACTTTCCTTTTTTCTTCCCTTTTCCTATCTTTCTTTTTTCTTCCTTCCCCTATAGCTTTTCGCTTCCTTTCTTCCTTTCTTTCCTTCCCTGCTTCCTTTCTTTTCCTCCTCTTTCTCTTTTCCTTCCCTTTCTCTCTTTTCTTTCCTTTCACTCTTTGCCTTCCTCTTTCACTCTTTTTTCCTTTCCTCTTTCTTTCTTTTCCTTTCTTTTCCATTCTTCTTTCCTCCCTTCCTTTCCCTTCCTGTCTTTTCCTCTTTTTTCCTTTCTCTATTTTTCTTTTTTTCTCTTTTTCTTTCTCTTTTTCTTTTGCTTCTCCTTCTTTTTTATCTTCTTTCTTACTTTTCCTTTCCTGCCTCTTTCTTCTCCTTTTTTCCCTTTCCCCTCTTTTCCCTCCCCTTCTCTCCCTTTCCTTCCCTCCTCTAAAAGACATATAGACCACCTTAGCTAACACAACCAAGCTCTGTTGCAATGAACGAAGTGGGAAAGAAGCTTTTGGTCCCTCCACCAAGCTTTTAAATAATTTGTTCTCTCAGTCCATAAGCTGGGTCTTAGCTTATTGGGTCTTAGCTTATTGGGTCTTAGAATGAGAGCATTTACTAAGCAATTTACATAATGATAAAAACTTCTCAAATGAGATTTAAAATGTAATTAAAGGGCAGACTTATTGAGTTAAAAGCATTGTTGTGAAATGGCTATACATCATCATGCCATGAAGCCTCCTATTCAGCTAGCTGATAGCATGACCCCAATTCCAGTCTGGTATGATTACATCTCTGAGTTTCATGCTAATTACTTGATTAAAAAGAAAGATAAAAAGGTCTTTTCTATTGGGAAGATAAGCTTATGAATATCATTAAGGCATTTCTAGGTTCCCAATACATTTTTCAAGATAACAAAGGATAAGAGTTAGTCCTCTAAGAGAGAATCAAATGTTTATGAGTGGAAGCTTAAAAGTATAACTTTGCTCTGCAGAAAACAATCTGTGTAAGTTGCATCTACCATTGTTATGGTTTTAAATTCTACAAGTCCCAGAATTTAGAAGGGACCAAAACTCACATTTGAAAGCTTCTTTCATCTAAAAGAAGATACAAAAGCTTTATTTAGCAAATTGGGCTCTGTCTTCAGAAAAGATTATCTTTATAAACAGGCAAAACAACCTTCAATTTAGGTTATTTTCAGATTGCAAGAGATTACATGGTGTATCTAAGGATATAGCCATCTCTTACTGACAGATAGTAACTGTGAAAACATGGTGTGGGCTTCTTCATTTCAT